TAATATATGAATTATATATTATATAATATATAAAAATGACAAGTGCCATAAAGGAAGAATGCTAAAGAAGGAAGAGTTTTTAGCATGCTTTATCTAATTATGGGCAAATAAATGTCTTTCTCTAGTAACTTTCATGATGAATTAGAATTATGGAGTTACTAAAGTGTTATAATGTTTATAATTCACTTTTTAATTTTATTTTTTTGAGACAGAGTCTTGCTCCGTAGCCCAGGCTGGAGTGCAATGGCACGATCTCGGCTCACTGCAACCTCCACCTTCCAGGTTCAAGTGATTCTCCTGCCTCAGCCTCCCTAGTAGCTGGGATTACAGAAGCGTGCCACCATGCCGGGCTAATTTTGTATTTTTAGTAGAGACGGGGTTTCTCCATGTTGATAGGCTAGTCTCGAACTCCTGACCTCAAATGATCTGCCTGCCTCTGTCTCCCAAAGTGCTGGGATTACAAGCATGAGCCACACTCAGCCTCATAATTCACTTTTAAATACTTCAGTGTAGGAAGTATGACAAATACATAAGCTGGTTTTTATCCTTACCCTTAGAGGCAATCAGTTAAATTTCAATTACTTTTAAAAAATCACAAAGAGTGGTTAGTTAGCCTTTGAAAGAACTGAATCAGGTGTTCGCACTCCAGTGTACCATATAGCAACTTCATACAACGTTTGCTGAATTTCCATCAGAGATCTTATTAACTAGCCTAAGGGATATCAGAAATAATTTTTTATTGATGAAATAGAGTTCAAGATACTAGCTGGAAATCATACATTGGCACTCCTGCTCTTGCAGAACAAGGTGTAAGAATTGGCAGGCCCAGCAGTTAACAACTTTTAGGGCAGCACTTTGTGCTGGACTTTGCACCAAATCCAACTAGAAGGCTGGCTGAACTCTGACCTTAGAATACGGCTGAAACTGCCTCCAGCAGATCTTTCATGCAAGTATTTGTCAGAGTACCTACAGGATAGAGAGCTGAAATTTCACCAAGCATACAAGAACAAGTTCTACAACTTTTTTTGTGCCTGCTTGCTAAAAAGACATACATCTGTGTGGCAGATTTTGATCTGGGACTTGCTTTCATTATGGCATCCCACCAGCTAGGGGAGGTTATGAAGAGGTTAGTAGAGCTATCTTAGCTCTAATTGTTAGAAGTTTCTTGGCAATTATAAACTCTCCAGTTGGCTTGGAAAGAGAAGTGTATTTCTAGGATCTTTCCATTCCTTTTAAATACAGAACACTTCATGTAACATAATTATTTCCTAACTTTCTAAAAATAATTTAGTGCAAAAATAACCTTAAAAAACTAACTACTTCTGAGCAAGAAACAGAGATTAAAAGCTAAGTATTCTTTTTTCCCCCCAGATCAAAGGAAAGTAGAAACTTACCTAAGATGTAAGAGTTTGGGGAAAGACAAAGATTGGGAGGATCCAACTGTATGATCATACTGAGGTTCTGATCTAGAAAGTAAACACATCTGATAATGAGTTTATCTGTTAGAAGTATAACATAAAATTATACTTTTCCCAATACACGGTAATTTTTGCCTCCAAAACAAATTCAACAGCCTAACTACATCTGCCTTTATTCAACTCACATTAATCATAGGAAAGGTAATTCTCAAAGACTTCTTTGGTTTTTCTGAATCTTTTAATAAAAATTCAACTTTACTCTGAAAAGACATAATAAAATCTTTTTTTTTTTTTTTTTTTGAGACGGAGTCTCATTCCGTCGCCCAGGCTGGGTGCAGTGGCATGATCTCGGCTCACTGCAAGCTCCGCATCCTGGGTTCACGTCATTCTCCTGACTCAGCCTCCTGAGTAGCTGGGACTACAGGCATGCGCCACCACGCCCAGCTAATTTTTTTTTTTTGTATTTTTAGTAGAGACGGGGTTTCACCATTAGCCAGGATGGTCTCAATCTCCTGACCTCGTGATCCACCGGCCTCAGCCTCCCAAAGTGCTGGGATTACAGGCGTGTGCCACCACGCCTGGCCAGGTATAATAAAATCTTTAACACTTATACAATATCAGAGATTTTCACCCAACCTCTATATATAAGCTCTTCAAACAATCCTAACAAGACATACAAATCATTACCTTAGAGTAATCACAGGGAGAGGTGGCAACGAGAGGAGTTTCTTGAACTGATGTGTACTTATAACTTCTCCATCAAAGTTCACTTCCCACATCCTAGAGCCTGGGCGAGCACAATATATCAGAGGTTGCTGGCCCCCAGAACATCTTCCAGGAAAGAAACAAGCTCCATATTCTCCATCTCTTTCCTTGTTTCCAATTTTCCAAAACTTTTCTCTAACATCCAGAAAGGAAGAGAAAGCAGATTTACTTACAAAAAAAAGGCAAAAACAATGGCACTACAAATCAGCATGGGCATAATAACTCCACTCACAATGCCTTCTCCTTCATTCATATTAGCAATATACTGAAAAAAACAAGAGAATGGAAAGATCAAAATAGGGTTCTGGCTCCGATTTGCCATTAGCTATTTCTGTGACAGGAAGCAAATCATTTCATATTAGTACTTAGTTTATTAGCCACAGAATAAGAGGCTCAGAATCAATGTAAAGGCCCCTTTCAAATCTAAAAAGTGAATGCTACTGAACTATTTCGTACATCCTTGAACCCTACTAATTGCTTCTAAAGTCACTTTGTAAAATGTTCTTTGGACACTCTATGGAAGCTACTAATCTAGTTCTCCAACCCTGTCTCCAAGTCACTTCCTCACCACAAACACCCAATAAACTTACTTTTTCCTCAAAAACCCAGGTCCTTCTGAAACTCTGCACCTTGGAGTATTCTGCTCCCTTAGGATTACATGGGTTAGATATATAAAAGAGCTCAGTACACTGCCTGGGAACATGGAAGGTGATAATGATGAGGTAGATGTCTCTTCCTAAAAACTCCTGTTACTTACCCTCCATGAGTCCATCATTCCTCCTCAGAAACTTTCCCTGATTCCCATATATGGAATTACATGCTTCCTATGCTTTGCTTTCATAGCACTTATGACATGATATATGGCAATTATGTCTATTTAAACAGCAAATCATGACTTTTCAGGGCAAAGGACACTTCTGATTCCTCTTTGGTTGGATTCCCAGTGTGTAGCACAGTGTCAGGCCTACAGAAAGCACTCAATACATTGTAGAGTTCCATAAACTCAATCTCTTTTATTGAAGAGTGATCTAGTATGCTCTCTAGCATGAATTTACTAGATAACCTCAGATAATTCAATAACTACTTCTGTAGTTACTTGCTTTATGAATAAAACATAACATTTGCTTTACTTTAAGAACATTGGTGTAAGAGTGCTTTGAAATGTATACAGAGCAGTACAGGAAGTAGTGGTTTTATTACTTATATTCCTTATTTGGGAAATAAAATATGTTTCTTCCTTATTTTATATATTTTATGATACCTAATATGGTGCTAAGGATCTGGAGGACTATAATAAATGTTTGCTGAGTGAAAAATGCAATCAATTCATTATCATTTGTATCCTCATTAATCTTACTTTCTATTATTTTTCAAACAATATGTCACAGGCCCAAAGTTGAGTATTTTCACATATGCTACCCTAGTTAATCCTTAACACTAAATTTACATGAAACAAAGTCATATCTATCACTTTGGCTAGTCACTAGGTGAACCAGCTTTTAAAAATATATATACATACTGTTTGTTGGGAGGGAAAATAGGTTGAAACAAAAAGATTTTTTAACGTAAGTATATATTTTATTATACTATCCATGTCCCCAAAAACTGAATTCTAGCTAACAGAGAGTAAGCACATCTAAACATGTTATTTTTACAAGAGGTTCTAGGCTACTGTCATCCAACTTTAGTTATGAAATAGGTACACGGGGGTTGATTACACAATTCTCCCTTCTTTTGTGTAGGCTCAAAACTCTCCATGACAAATTTTTAAAAGGAGATGGTCCTGAGAAATATGATAGCTGCCACGTCCAGTGAAAAAAAGAATGGCCAGTGAAAATTTCCTTGCAGTGAGAATGGCTGAGAACTTTGGCACAGTGATGCATAATACTCATTTTCAGCTGTCTGCTATTCTGCTCTGGTATTTCACAGCTACCTCTAATGCACTCCTTTGCCACTCATTGGACCTCTGGCTCTATCTACCCTTGAGATTTTGATGAAATACTTATCTTCGTAAAGCTCTTATTCTTCATCCAATTTTACCCTTTAGTAAAATTCTATTAAAATAAAACAAATCTTGAAAACAACAAAACTCAAAGAAGCCTTCCTGCTTCCGCATATAAAAACAGGCCTTTGGCCTTCTCTCATAGCACTTAGAACACGCCTCACCAGCAACGGGCTCACGGAATACTTGTCTTAGTCACCCACTGGACTGTCTTAGACTCCTCTACCTCCTCTCTGCTCTCTAACATCAGCTTGCATACAACTGATTCCGTAACATCTGTAATAGCCAAGGGCAGTGGTTCTTGCCTGTAATCCAAACACTTTGGGAGGCTGAGGCAGGAAGATCACTTGAGCCCAGGAGTTCAAGACCCGCCTGGGTAACATGACAAAACCCAGTCTCTAAACAAAATACAAAAAATTAGCAGGGCATGGTGGCATGTGTCTGTAGACCCAGCTACTTGAGAGGCTGAGGTAGGAGGATCGCTTGAGCTGGGGAGGTCAAGGCTGCAGTGAGCCATGATTACACCACTGCACTCCAGCCTGAGTGACACAGTGAGACCCTGTCTCAAAAAAACAAAAAAGAAAAGAAAAGAAAAAAAAAATCTGTATAACTGATTGATGGGGCTTGGGGTAGATAACTTCTAAGTTCCTCCCATTTCTAAAAGTCTGCATTTCTGGTGACTAATGGATGGCCAATATACCTCTCAGTGTCACACAAGAAGGATCGAGTTAGTGAAGATATAAGTAGCCTTCCATCCAAATAATCTAACTGTACAACACAGGAGTCAACTGTTGTTATGGTCTGAACAGGAAACATCACAAAAGCAGCAGCTGCCTAAAAGGAATGTGAGAAAGAAATAAAGTTTATTTAATCATAACATACACATGTGATCTCTTCCTCTTTACCTTGTAAATAACTTGAATAGCAAAATAAAATTTTCAAATAAGCCAAAATTTAATTTGCTTGTAAGGATATCGAAGTTTCACTCACTTAAAAGTTGTATTAAATAATTTGGTACGTTAACTGCAGAAGGGAATTCTTAAGGCTCTGTTTGTGATCATCTAATCTTAGAGGTTAGAATGAAAAAGATGAAGCAAGCTTTAGAACTTGTTAGTCAGGCGTGGTAGCACAGATCTATAATCCCAGCTACCCGGGAGGCTGAGACAGAAGGATTGCTTGAGCCTAGGAGCTTGAGGCTGCAGTGAGCTTTGACCGAGCTACGATATTCCAGCCTGGGCAACAGAGGAAGAACCTGTCTCTAACTAAATAAAGTTCTGGAGTATGTGAGAGAATTTTTCACCTGTAGATAGTACTTCTCCCTTTGAGAAAAAGACAAAGTACGTTTACTATGTATAGGGTTTCTATATTTTAGATCCAAAATATATTAAGAATCAATTGATAACTTTGATAGGTCATGATGGCAAAAACCAGAAAAATATTCTGATGTGTTCATTAAAATAAAGTAATTTAGCCAATAGACAGGTGCAGTGGCTCATGCCTGTAATCCCAACACTTTGGGAGGGCAAGGTGAGTGGATCACTTGAGCCCAGGAGTTCGAGACCAGCCTGGGCAACATGGCAAAACCCTGTCTCTACAAAAAATTTTTAAAAATTAGCCAGGCGTGGTGGTGCATGCCAGTAGTCCCAGCTACTCAGGAGGTTTGGGGTGGGAGGATTGCTTCAGCCCGGGCGATCAAGAGTGCAGTGAACCATGATCTCACCACTGTACTTCAGCCTGAGTGACAGAGCAAGAACCTGTCTCAAAATAAAATAAAATAAAATATAAAATTAATTTAGCCAATAGTAGTTAGAGCCCTTCTTTTCCACCAGGATCCTAAATAGAAACAAGCCAATGCGAGACAAATCCCTCTACTTCTGCTGTAATGGCCCTGGAGGAGCAGGACAATGAGAAGCTGGTCTACTCTGTCTTAATGACAGACTGGAGCATTCTGTTAGGGTAAACTGAGTCTCAACCCTTCTACTCAGAAAGAACTGCAGCAGGAAGCTTGAGAACCTGCAGAGCAGAGCAAAGCCCGAAGGTGTCTTCAAGATTCCATTCAAAATAAATTATATCCATCCTGATAAAAACAGTATTCCTAGACCTATGAGTTTCTTCTACACAAGAAGCGGAGAAGACCAGGAGCCTGAGCAATTGGTGTCATTTCTATGTCTGTCATTTGATTCACACCAATAAGAAATAGATTTCTTTTCTTTCTTAATAGCCTTATACTAAAGAATGCTTTAAATGAGCCATGCAGGTGAATCAGGAAGAACTGCAATAGATAATGTGCAAAGTACTGAAGTTAGCTCACAAAAGCCATTCTGTAACAGCACTGAGCTATAACAGGCTACCATATGTACTATATAAAAACAGGTCTCCTCAAAATCTCCAAGTCTGGACTCTGGATTAGTCTCCCAAGAAATATAGTAGATAAAAATCACATTCTTTAATTGGAAGTTTTTTAAGACACCTTGTATCTCACTACATACACAAAGAATGGGACTGCTTCTCACCTTTGCTTGTTTAGAAGTACTGAGTTTGATGGCAGAAACCTTCCCGGCATGATCACCTACAAAAACTCTAAGAATAGCTGTATCCCAACAGAGAGCTGTGACTCTTCGGCCTTTGTGTTCTGAAGACACATAAATTTGTTCTGGTTTCCCACGACGCTCTTGATTTAATTCCCAAACAACTACAAGACCTTGACTGCAAGAATTGAGTCACAGAGGCAAACTTTTGGCAATGATGAACAAGGTAGAATTTAATTGCATCACAGTATCAACTATACTAAATACATATGTAACTCTTATTCTTCAGAAAAGAGGAAGTATTATAAAAAGTCAAGATATTAATTTCCTTGTTTTAGTCACCAAACCAGTTTAATAGGAGAAGTTAAATGATCTAAATTATCTCTGTTCCCTTTCTCTTTTAAGGCCTTTGAAATGTTGTAACCTCAAATTAGCATTTTCTACAAACACTCGGATGACCAGCTGTCCGTTCTCGTTTGCTGGGTACTGAGAGATTTCCCGAGACACAGGAATTTCAGTGTTAGAACTAGGACAATCCTAGGCAAACCAGGATGGTTGGTTACCCTAACAAACACATTAAATAAAATAATTAAATGTGTCAAATTAAAATGCATTTGAAAAAGGACAGACGGTTTTAGAATAGATTCTTACCTGGTAGCTACAGCAACATAATCATCATCATGTAAACAACAGGCAACTTGAGAAATTGCACCTTCCTAGAGCACAAAAGAAAAAATATTTTTTAAATCTCAAGTTTTACATTATTATTTTTTTATTTATTTATTTTTTGAGACTGAGTCTCGCTCTGTTGCCCAGGCTGGGGTGCAATGATGCGATCTCGGCTCACTGCAACCTCCACTTCCTGGGTTCAAGCAATTCTCCGGCCTCCGCCTCCCAAGTAGCTGGGATTACAGGTGCCCACCAACACGCCCAGCTAATTTTTGTATTTTTAGCAGAGACAGGGTTTCACCATGTTGGCCAGGCTGGTCTCCAACTCCTGACCTCAGGTAATCCACCCGCCTTGGCCTCCCAAAACGCTGGGATTACAGGCGTGAGCCACCGCACCAGGGCACGTTTTACATTCTTTTATTCCAAACGATTATTTATATTGGAGAAATTTGCATTTATGAAAGAGACTCCAAATGGTATACGACAGAGCTGCCCTTAATCTTACCCTGTGTGAAAGAAAAAGCCTGTGCTTCCAACCTTCTTTCTGAATGAGATGGAGTCCTCCTCCTGAACTGCCCAAAGCCAACCATTTCCGAGACACAGCTATGCTTGTGCACTAAAAACATGTAAAGAGAAGTGTGAGATGATCACAGCTACTTAACCAAATAGACTATCCACTGAAAATAAATACTGAGGATTTATGCATCAGGCTCCTTCCCTCACTTTACCCTCTGCCCAAATGGACACAACATGACACTTACTCTCTAATTCTAGAATAGTAAAAAATACTGAAGAAAGAACATTTTGTTTTTAAACTTCTAAACAAATCTCACAAAGGCTGAATAGGCTCCACCGTGTGAGTAATTTTCCCTTGGCAAAAGCTGGCTGTTAGACTGTTCATATTTTGTGTAATTTGGCTAGGTCATTCCAATGCTAACTACAACAATGGAAGACCGAGGAAGTGACCAGAAGATAAAGTAACCATGTTAAACATTCATTCATTTACATCACTTCTGATCTGTACAAACACCACAAAACATCCGCAAGTCTTAGGGTAGGTGAGACTCCATCAGAGGATGCAGTAGCCATGCTGTGCCCAATACTCTGTGGCAAAATTATTAGTTGGTTGACTAAGAGACATTCCCAATCCTCTTCAGTTTTGCTGCTTTTCACTACAGAAGTTGGAAAACCTAAATATTCACCTTCCCAGTTCTCTAGCTGCCAAGCGTTGCCATGCAACTCAATTCTAGCTAATATGACCAACACAGCTGAGGGCTTCTCAGGAAGGGAAGCTTTACCTTTCCAGATAAGAGGCAGAGCCTGTAGAAAGCCTTTGCCCTTTGCCCCCACTTTCTTGAGATGTTAATGAGAACAGTAAGACTGGAGACAGGACATACATTGCAAATGCAACTAAAAGCTAACATATGTACAATGGTAGAATGGGAAAAATGGGAGCCAGTTATATCATTGGGCCACTACACTAAACCCAGAACACTAACCTCCTATGAGATTATAAACATCTTTATCACTTAAGCTCCTATTAGTATGTTACACCATACTGTAACTTGCAGCTGAAAAAATGTCTGATGTCAAGCCTCAAAACTGTTACTCATATTATTTTGTCTATCACTTCCTATTTTTCCCTTTCCTCAGATGCTAGTATTTCCTTTAGGGCAGTAGCAAAAGTATAAAAATGAAATTATTTTGGTACTGGTTATGAAACTTTGTTTTTTACCACATCATTCCTGAGTTTAATCAAAATAACTCAGAGATTGAAGGAAGTACATAGTTCTTTGAATTCCAAGGACAATCAAAACACATAGCTATTGGGAAAAGAAAAATAGCTCAGGGCAGTCTGAACTATGTGAAGTATGCAGGTCCAGACAGAAATGAATATGAGATATCAGTCATGCCCCCACTCGCGGCACCCATGCCTGGGGACAATTGTTTAAAGTCATTTTGTCACTGACTAGCTGTCTCGCCTGTTAACTTCATGTCACTGAAATCTGTGATACTAAGAACAATGTATAGCCAATCAATAGTTTTTGTTATTTTAATATGTTATTGGTAAACAACTCAGAATCTGCCTCCTTTTCCTTTAAACATCCACTTGGGCTGGACAAGGTGGCTCACGCCTATAATCCCAACACTTTGGGAGGTCAGAAGTTCAAGACCAGACTAAGCAACAGAATAAGACCCCAGCCCTAAATTAAAATTTTTTATTTTCAAGAAATCCAGGCCAGGCGCAGCAGCTCATGCCTGTAATCCCAGCACTTTGGGAGGCCGAGGTAGGAGGGTCACGAGGTTAGGAGATCGAGACCATCCTGGCCAATAAGGTGAAACCCTATCTCTACTAAAAGTACAAAAATTAGCTGGTTGTGGCAGTGTGTACCTTTAATCCCAGCTACTTGGGAGGCTGAGGCAGTAGAATCACCTGAACCCAGGAGACGGAGGTTGCAGTGAGCCAAGATTGCGCCACTGAACTCCAGCCTGGAGACACAGCTAGATGCCATTTCAAAAAAAAAAGGCCTGGTGCAGTAGCTCATGCCTATAATTCCAGCACTTTGGGAGGCCAAGGCTGAAGGACTGCCAGAGCCCAGGAGTTTGAGACCAGTCACAGCAACATAATGAAACCCTATCTCTAAGAAATTTACAAAAATTAGTCGGGCCATGTGGTGTGGTGCACGCCTATAGTCCCAGTTACTTGAGAGGCTGAGGCAAGAAGACTGCCTGACGCCAGTTCAAGGCTACAGTGCACTGCAGTGTGCTATGACTCAGCTATGATGACTGTGAATAGCCACTGTACTCCAGCTTGGGCAACACAGTAAGACTGCACCACCCCTTGCCCCACCATCTGTTTCAAAAAATAATCACCCAGCACGTTGGGAGGCTGAGGTGGGCGTATTACTTGAGGCCAGGTATTTGAGAACAGCCTGGCCAATATGGCAAAACCCCGTCTCCACCAAAAATTCAAAAATTAGCCAGGCATGGTGGTACACACCTGTAATCCTAGCCTCTCTGGTGGCTGAGGCATGAGAATCACTTGAAACCAGGAGGCAGAGTTTGCAGAGAGCTGAGATGGTGCCACTGTACTCCATCCTGGGCAACAGAGCACGACTCCATCTCAAAAAAAAAAAAAAAAAAATCCACTTGTAACTGCTGCTAATTAAAGTGTATATTTAAAACAACTTTTATCTATGTTCCCAGGTTGTAATCCTCAAGCTTGGCCCTAATAAACTGTCTGCTTATATTATTTTTGCCTTTGTTTTGTTTTTTGGGTTTTTTTATTCCTTTTGAGATAGGGTCTTGCTGTGTCACCCAAGCTGGAATGCAGTGGAGCGATCACAGCTCACTGTAGCCTCAACCTCCCTGGCTCAAGCAATCCTCCCAACTCAGCCTTCTGAGTAGCTGGGACCACAGGTGCCCACCACCATGTCCAGCTAATTTTTGTATTTTTTGTAAAGATGGGATTTTGCCATGTTGCCCAAGCTGGTCTCAAACTCCTGAGCTCAAGCAATCCTCCCACTTCTGCCTCCTAAATTATTGGGATTACAGGTGTGAACCACAAAGCCAGGGCACTTGCCTCAGCTTCTTCCTCTTAGGTTGACATTCTGCCCAGAGCGAACTAACTTTTGCTATGTTCCCTAAACTGAGGGTTACACCAGACTCCCTGTTTTGGAATGACCGTAGTATAACTGCAATGATTCATGTTATTCAAAATGTAATGGGGTTATTGGGGCTCAGCAACCAATACCCCAAAATATGGAGCTTTGACATGCTGACAGTTCTCAGAAGTTGCCTCAAAATCAAAGTCCCTTTAACCTTGTCTCGTTTCCACCTCTCCACCAAGCACAGAGAGGGACTCTCTCCAGAGGAATTTCCTTATCTGACCAAGAAAGCCTCTTTCCAAAAGGTACAGGCTCAGTGGCTCATGCCTGTAATCCCAGCTCTTTGGGAGGAGGCAGGAGGATTGTCTGAGGCCAGGAGTTTGAGACCAGCCTGGCCAACATGGTGAAACTCCGTCTCTACTAAAAATACAAAATATAGCCGGGCATGGCGGCAGGTGCCTGTAATCCCAGCTACTCGGGAGGCTGCGGCACAAGACTCACTTGAACCCAGGAAGTAGAGGTTGCAGTGAGCCAAGATCGTGCCACTGCACTCCAGCCTGGGCAAGGGAATGAGATTCTATCTCAAAAAAGAAAGAAAGAAAGGAAGGAAAGAAAGGAAAGGAAAGGGAAGGAAGGAAGGAAGGGAGGGAGGGAGGGAGGGAGGGAGGGAGGGAAAGCTTCCTTCCAAAAGAAATGCAATTGTCCTAAACACTTTCCCTAGGGATCTCATCAAATTACCAGGAAAGATCAACCACTAGAGAAGAGACTGGGAGTGATCATCATGCCCAGATAGACTTTTCATTTATTCTTCTGAAGGCAGCTCCAAGAGTTCATCCGGGGGATTTTACCTGATTGTTCCTATGCAGCTCCATCCCTCACCTTCCCATGTCTGCCTCCCACTTGCTAGGTCTATTCATTCTCCCTAATGATTTATTGCTACTCAGAACAATCATCTACATTCTCCATATCCCCACTTCCCTATGAAAGAGGGTACATACAGCCAGGCATGGTGGCTCACTCCTGTTACCCCAGTGCTTTGGGGAGGCCAAAGGCCAAGGCACAGGATTGCTTGCGGCCAGGAGTTAGATGCTATCATGAGCTATGGTCTCACCACCGTACTCCAGCCTGGGCAACATAGCAGGACCCCATCTCTACAAAAACTTTTTAAAAATTAGCCTGGCATGGTGTCGAGTATGTTTAGTCCCAGGTACTCAGGAGGATGAGGCAGGAGGATTACTTGAACCCAGAAGTTTGAGGTTACAGTGAGCTAGGATCTCCCCATTGCACTCAGGCACAGGCAACAAAGAGAACCTGTTTCAAAAGGAAAAAAAAAAAAAGAAAGGAAGATTTTATATGCCTTTTCTCCTATTAATCTTACTTGTATTAGTTGATTTTCAGCAAACCTTCAGAGGGTGAAGGGACAGTTTTCTCTTGGTCTTTGTGGGATATACTCATTTATACCATTTTATTTTCAATTAAATACATTAGCTTCTGAGAGAAGACAGCAACACTAACAGGGGAAAATGAAGCAAGTCAGTATCAGGGTTTCCAGGGATGGTAAATTAGAATTCAAAAGATAGCTCAAAAAATAAATCAAGAAAGAGCTATGAAAATTATACCTCTATGTAAAGTGTCAACCTAAAAGGAAGAAGTTGAGGCCAAATTAACATCGAGTTTATCTGGGCCAAGTTTGAGGACTGCAGCCTAGGACACACTTCCAAGTTGCCTTGGTGAATGCTCTGGAAAACAAGAAACTCAAGTTCTCAGAAGAGGCTGTTTGTCAGGAATTCTCATTGGCTTACAGCAATAACATTGATTAGTGATTGGCTATACACTTTTGAAGTATAAGGTATACTGCATTTTATCACTACTTGGTGTCAGTTAGTCTAGTGCCCACATAGCAAGTAGCTTCAAGAGGTAATTAATTAGCTCAAACAAGAGTGATAAGACCTGTAATCCCAGCACTTTGGGAGGCCAAGGCGGGCGGATCACAAGGTCAGGAGATCAAGACCATCCTGGCTAACCTGGTGAAACCCTGTCTCTACTAAAAATACAAAAAAATTAGCCAGGCGTGATGGTGGGTGCCTGTAGTCCCAGTTACTCGGTAGGCTGAGGCAAGAGAATGGTGAGAACCCAGGAGGCGGAGCTTACAGTGAGTAAAGATCGTGCCACTACATTCTAGCCTGGGTGACAGAGCGAGACTCCGTCTCAAAAAAAAAAAAAAGAGTGATAAAAGACTGCTGTTTCACTCCAATGCTTCTCTGGGCCTGACAATTTTTTTTTTCTTGAGGCAGAGTCTCACTTTGTTGCCCAGGCTACAGTGCATTGGCATGACCTCGGCTCACTGCAACCTCCACCTCCCGAGTTCAAGTGATTCTCATGCCTCAGCCTCCCGAATACCTAGGATTACAGGCGCATGCCACCTTGCCCAGCTAAGTTTTGTATTTTTAGTAGAGACAGAGTTTTGCCATGTTGGCCAGGCTGGTCTTGAACTCCTTGCCTCAAGCGATTCTCCCACCTCAGCCTCCCAAAGTGTTGGAATTACAGGTGTGAGCCACCACACCCAGCCTTGGCCTGATAATTTAAAGGGGCTCACATTCCTCAGATAAAAAGTTTATTTTCTTTTTTTCTCCCCACGAAAGTATGACTAGGACAGGTAAGAACACCCAAGATTCCATAAAACGTTAAGGAACTAGAGGGTAGGGGCACAGTAACAAAGAGTACATGAAAATGAAACTGATACAAGGATCAATAAATTCACCTTTAGACGACTGGAGTCCAGCCGCAGGGCTGACAGTAATGGATCCAGAGATTCAAACTCTGCAAGAACATGGCTGTAGGACTCTGGTATCACTGGCACAAAAGTCATTTAGCCAGAAAGCTGAAACTTGTTGAATGATAGATACAGTATTCCTTACCTGAATAAAATCCACAAAAATATAATTTAAGAAGCCCTCCATTCATTTAACATGCATTTAACAAATATGTGGGGAACATAATGAAACATGAGAAAGTCCCCACTATACAGGTACTTAGAAAGAAAACACATACAGGTAACATTGTATGCCACGGTGTGTTTACATTGTGTCATTCCCTGACTCTAAAACTCCCAGAGTAGCAGGTACAGATTCTCAAGGCCCTCCATAATCCTATCCCCCTCTATTATCTAACAGTGTGAGTAAGCAGAATAGGCAGAGTAGGATTTAGGAAAATTGGCCTATCTCCTCTGAGGCAAAACAGTAACCCTGCTGCTGTATTTCTATGAGTAGTAAATCTTCTGTCTTGAGGAGTCTTTCATTAAAATGCAATCTTCCATAAAGGTCTCAACTTACTAAGTGTTATCAGCAAACCCTACAGTTATCAGCTAACAATTTAACAGTGCTTAATAGGAATAGGCCACTAGACTTCTCTCTCCAACCTAGCAGGTGCTTAGTAAGTGAGGTGAATGAATGAACAGATCTAAGAGAGAAGGTACAGGGAAATAGAGCACAAAGAAAAATAAAGAGCTGCAACAAAAGAGACTAGATAGGACAGAACAGGGATAAGAATGCAAGGTAACAAATGCCAAATAACCAGGGAGGACTTTGTAAAGTAACACAAGAGTTTTTGTGTTCACCTACTCTCAAATGCACTTTTATGTCCCATTGCAGCAATCTCAAGAAAAAAAGAAAAGAAAATTCTCCTCATAAATTACAACTTTTCTCAATCACTTGTTACCTGCCAAATTTAGAAAGCAAATTAATACAACAGAAAAATTCATAAACTGTTTATATATTCTCGTTTTTTGTTCATGCTTTATGTTTTTGACTTTTTTTCCAGAAACATATATATTCAATCACTCATTTATTCAACAGATTTGTACTGAGCACCCACCTAAGTGCCAGCCATTATTCTAGGTCCTAGATATGATAAAGTTCTAACCCTCAAAGAACATACTTTCTAGTGGCAAAACGAAGACTATGTTTTTTATTGCACACAAAATCTGATTTTCTGCTAGTAACACTGTTCCTAATACAGCCTGACCTCTGCAAGGAGAATGATGTTCAGGAAAAAAAAAAAAGTTTTCACATGCCTGTACTCAAAATATTTGAGAATTATTGATCTAAGAAAATCTTCCCTCATTCTTTTCACTCATTCATTTCATTCAGTACCTAGTAAAGTACCAGGCACAGTGGTAAAAAAAGACAAGTAAAATAATTCCAGAAGTCAGTCAGTTTATAATAGAGAGAAAAAGACAAATACCATATACACACACACACACACACACACACATCTTATGAGGGAAACATAAGCAAACTGCTTTGTTAGAACTTTACAGGACAGAGGGATCACACTGAATTACAGCGAACCGAAGAAAACTCTCTAAGGAAAGTAGTACTGATGCTGACTACGCTTTTATCTCAAGGAAAAGGGAAAGGGTAGCAGGTAGGGCAGCAACGTGCAAATATATAGAGAAGAAAAAAATGCAGAATATACTAGAAGCATACAAATTTAGTCTTTGACTGAAACATAGGATACAAGCAATGGAATAACGAAAGACAAAGCTGGAATCATAATTTGGGCCCAAGTTACAAAACACTTTGAATTTCAAACCAAAGAGCCTGCACTTAACTTGGCAGGCAACAGAAAGGAACTGAAGAATTTGGTGTTGGGAGGTCGCATAATTTCTGTAAAGTGCTGTGGGTGGTTAGACGCTAGAAAACAAAGATTTGAGAAAAGGGGTGGGTGGTATGAAAATGAGGATAAAACATTTCAATTACTCAAGAAGTCCGGTGGAAAAGGAGAAAACCTCTCTGGACTTTATTATTGGGGAGACTCTTCAACAGATTTGTAGGTAGTAGCTAAAAGTAGACTCTAAAACGAAAGGGACTGAAAATACAAGAAAAAGATAAAACCACAGCACAGGATCCAAGAGATGGAAAGGAATGATAATATCATAGTGTCTCCTCTACGTGTGATCTTGAAAGAAACTCCAAAGTAGATAAGTCATTTTGCCTTAATCTCGGTGAAAAGAGAATGTCCTGCAAGTTATAATATAATGGGGGTGGGGGTGGGGTGGGGAGGGGAACACACCTAGTAAGTTCTACTGAAAAGAAAAAAAGAATTTAACAGAAATGAGAACCGACAATAAAAACAGCATAAGCAATGCCAATTCTCAGAGAAGCTGCTGGATGACAGTGTTAAACCAACTCTAACTTTACGCATTTATGTTTACTCTCCCTGAAATGACTGCTTCCCCTCCAGATCTTCTTACCCAAATGTATCCAGCTTTCAAGATCCCACATGAGCCCTACTTCCTAGAATTCTCAACATGGAGACAGGTTCATAGGTAATTCAGTGAACATGTCCACCTAATTCAGAAATTAGTTTTGCCCTAGGTCCCCGAACACTTTCAGCAATGGAAAGAAATCACTCACTCTCATGAAGCTGCCAACTCCAGTCCTCCACAGGGCTCACTGTTAAAAGGTTCTTTTTAATACTGTGCTGAAGCCTGATCACTTATAGCTCTACCATTATTCCTATTTGTATGTAGCTTCTATAGTTGAAGGGAATGAGCTGTCTCTTTCCAAAACAATCCTTCTGTATTTCAAAAGTCTTATCAGGTCTTCTAAAAATTTAACATTCCCAGTTCCTCCATCACTCCTGACATGACATTTTCCAACCGTCTGTTCCAGTCAACCTTCTACAGAGGTACTTTAGTTTGTCTAAAAATGAGGTGCCTAGTGCTGAGCATAATACTACTTAAGCAGTTGGATGAGCCCAGAATAGAGTAGAAACACTAACTTCCTGGATCTAGACAGCAAGTTTCTATATTACAACCTAAAATAGTATTAGTTGTGTTTAAGTGGCCGTGTTACACCGTTGATTCAGCAGAGCAAGTGATCAACTAAAACCCAAAGAAATTGTTTACATAAACAAAATCTTCTTAGCCAGTAGCTACATATAGTAGAACTGAGCTCAAATTGAAAGCTGCTATTAATCAAATGCAACAATGGATACAAAAAGTACCTAGAAATGTACAAACAGTATAAACAGGAACAGCAGAATGCTGATAATTGCCCAAGTTGCGTTAAGTGTACATGAGGGTTCATTTTATTATCCTACTTTTGTCTACGTTTGAAATTTTCCACAATAAAGTTTTAAAAGTATGTACTTAATACTGTACAAGCCTTCAATAGCTCTATTTCTTCATTTCCCATCTTAACCTCTCTCCTATTCTCCAACTACATTGGACTCAACTCTTTTTTTTCTCTTTCATTCTATAAACTTGCTGTGCCTCCATGGTTTAAAACATGATGTTTATGGAATCTTCCCCCATTTACCAAAACCCTATCTTTCTGCAAAGCTGAGTTTAAATGTTACTTCTGTGAAGTGACTCTACCAAAAACTAAGAACATACAAGTTGACGACAAATGCTTAACCAAAGTAAATGAAACAACTTTTGGAAGACTGGCTTGCCCAAGGACCACAGAGCTCATCAATGGTATACCTGAGATTAGAATACACGTCTCCTGAATCCAAATCTCATCATCTTCCCATTATCGTAAAATAGTTCAGTGTTTGTTGCTCACACATCAAATGCAAATATGTTCTCTTTTGCCCCAGTAGGTGCGTGGAAGAAAAGAGGAGAAAGAAATACGAGAGCAAAAATTGAAGAAATGAGAAGGAGAAGTTGCCGACTGTCTCATTTTCACAAGGGGATCTTTCTAAGAAGAAATGATCAGAAAACAACTCTCTGCCTCAGACAGACAAATGGCGACTGACTCATTCATACATTCATTCATTCAACATTCGAGTGCCTTCTATGTTCCAGGACCTGAACACACCGCTAGAGACACAAGGATGAACAAAATACAATCCCTGCCCACAAAAAGTTCCTTGCCTAGTGGAACTACCACCTTTTTAACAGCAGTAACTTTAATATCTTGAGATCTCTTGAGAGGAGACCCAGTAACCAATTTTCAAAGCCAGGCTCACAGACCAGCAGCCCGGAGGTCCCAAACCAGCTCCACCACATCCAGGCCAGTACCTCGCAGCTCTCAGTGTATCGGATCTTGGCCTCCGACTTAGCGCCGGGGAATTCACCGCCCACTAACAGCAGAATATGCACTTCAGTCTCACCTCCCGTTCCTCCCCTTCCTTGCTGACGTCATCCAGGAGCGCCGCGGACCCGAGACAACGCTACTAACGGCACTTCCTCATCACGTGACGAGTCACGCCCCCTGCTTGCGCGTAGTCCCTCCCCCTCAGGTCGCGGTCGCGATTACGCTCTCTACGGCCTGGAGCCGGAGGGCCGTTGCGGGCTGAAGACACGGCGCCGACTGGAACCAGAGGAGCTCTAGGCCAAATGGTTGGGCCGGCCAGGATCCCAGGACCCTTCGCCGCTCGAAACCGGAGAGAGGAAACGAAACAGGCGGGAAACCGTGAGGGAGGGAGGGAACTAGCGGAAGGTGTCATGGCGGCCGCGCTCTTGAGTCACGTGCCTAGGGCCCGCCTTGTTACTTCCGGTCACGTGCCCTCGGACTCCTCGCAGCCAGCGATGGAGCCGAGACCCCCCAGTAACAGAGGCGGTGGCAACTCCTGCAGCCGCTGGGTTTCAGCTTCTTCCCAGCAGCGGCTCTAAGAAGCGCAGCGGAACTCGACCAGATCCAACCCAGTTAGTTACTTCCTGTCTGGAGTTGTGGCTTCCACCTGGTAAGTTTAGACCGAAGAATGCGGGCGGGTGGGCGGGTGAGGATCTGACAGGCCTGGGGGCCGCAGGACGGCGTGGATTCTACCCCTTTTCCCAGCGTCGCTGTCGGCGTCCTCCCAACGCCCAAGCCTACCGTCTTGTTTGCCCTTATCCCGAGGCGAGGAAGAGGCGACCTCTAATCTACTTGTCTAAAGGAAGCCTGCTCTTCCACTGAGAGCAGGTTTACCCAAAGCCAGGATCAGATTTGGCTTATGAGAATGAAGTGGAGGCCTCTCCCAGACAGAGAAGCCCTTCCCGTCAGGAAATGTGCTGTTGAGTCTGGGATTCTGTAAGAGAAAAGCTCTCACCTTGGTGTCTGCACACCTTTTGCTTCCACCTGTCAATCTTACCTCTCTTAAAAACCTTCTTAACACATGGGCCAGTCCACACATTCCTAGTTTTGGTCATTTGGTTGTGGTGAAATGATGAAAAATAGACCGTGAGTACCTGGATATATACATAATTGTTTTGTATATCCCCCAGTGTTCTCAAAGGCCAAATTGAATAAGGAGGTGACTTTTTTTTTTTTTTTTTTTTAAGAGACACAGTCTTGCTCTGTCGTCCTGGCTGGAATGCAGTGCCGTGATAATAGCTCACTGTAACCTCGAATTCCTGGGCTCAAGCGATTCTCCTGCCTAGACCTCCCAAAGCGCTAGAATTATAGGCATGAGCCACAGTGCCTGGCCCCAAATGACTCCTAAACTCTCCTTTTAGCGTCAGTAAAATGGGGACGGGGAAAGGAGGTATAAAAAATACACCTTTCGTCCATTCGAAGACCAGGTCTTAAAAACAAAAAAACCAACAGTGGTTTGAATGAAATATGCTTTGCAGTGAGTATTGACTCCATACAAACCAATATCCAGACTTGTGATTTTTAAACGTTTTAAAGGAGTGGAACAATTTCTCCCCATGAATTTTTACCTGGAACCCAATATATAAAAAGCAGCATGCTCTGGTGGAACTAAATTTAAGAGAGCCAGGCCCCACCACTCCACTTCGCCTATATCCTAGAGGCATCTCCTTGGAACACAGTTTGAAAACCACTGAACTGGACTTAGGTAATTAAGCCAAAGTTGCCAAACTTAAGATTTTTTAGAAGGCAAAACCAGCCGGGCGCGGTGGCTCACGCCTGTAATCCCAGCACTTTGGGAGGCCAAGGCGGGCGGATCATGAGGTCAGGAGATCGAGACCATCCTGGCTAACACGGTGAAACCCCGTCTCTACTAAAAATACAAAACAATCTAGCCGGGCGTGGTGGCGGGTCCCTGTAGTCCCAGCTACTCCGGAGGCTGAGGCGGGAGAATGGCGTGAACCCGGGAGGCGGAGCTTGCAGTGAGCCGAGTGAGTCACTGCACTCCAACCTGGGCAACAGAGGGAGACTCCCTGTCAAAAAAACGGAAAAGACCAGAGCAGTTGAGATGGAGAGGTCACAACCGCAGGGAAGGTAACCTCTAGTAGCAGACCTTTGGCTCACAGAAGGACTAGACTCTGGAGAGAACTTTGTACCTGTTAGTAGGCTTAAGCACCTCATTCAGAAAGGAGAAAAAAGAGATGGTCTGCTATCCTCACTCAGTCGACTTTTCTTTTTTTTTTTTTCCGAGACGGAGTTTTGCCCTTGTTGCCCAGGCTGGAGTGCAGTGGCGCGATGTCGGCTTACTGCAGCCTCCACGTCCCGGGTTCAAGGGCTTCTCCTGCCTCTGCCTCCCGAGTGGCTGGGACCGAGGCGCATGCCACCACGCCTGGCTAATTTTTGTATTTTTAGTAGAGACGGGATTTCACTATGTTGACCAGGCCACTCAGCCGACTTGTAGCAGTGCAGCAGATTGGTAAGTTTGAGTCTCTCCTAAGTAATATTAAATGCACATTGCGGTACAAATGTGGGGAAAAAAACAAAGCAAATTCAGAGAGGTCTTTTGAAAAATACTAGGAAAATTGGTGCAGTGTGCGAGAAGAATCAGTTAAAAGTAGTGAAGCCGGCTACCAGGGACCAGCACCAGTCCTCGATTGTGAATGCTTCCTGTGTGTACTGCTCTCAAGGCTTGTAACTTCTTGCTGGTGCCGTGTGTCCTGCCCTCTGATAACCTGCTTCTCTATGCTATTTTATTCCCTACCATCAGAATATTTTCTGGTATCCCTTGAGCTTTCCTAGCGTTTTGGCTACCATTTATCTCTGCCTTATGGATTCTGCTGATAGAGATGTCTTTGCGCCCTTCCTTTCTCTTTCCTGCTTTCAGGGTGGCAGTATCAGCCATTGACCTAGTAGTTCCTCTTTTCACCACTTTGATTACCAACTGATTACTCTTCTCTCAATTTTGGTAATATGCTTTTGTCAGCATGCAGTATTAGTAGATATGAGCATATTTTCCTCTGTCATGCATCTCTGTCGCATTTTCCTCCTCCTGCCTCTTCCCTGCACTGCTATAAAATGTGCAAGTGCTCAGTCCTAAAATTGCCACATCAGTTATTCTCCTTAATATCTTCCTTGTCTGTGAAATTATCCTTAAAACAGTACATTTTGGTCACTCTTTGCATACTTACAAAGTTATTCCCTTTAATGCTGAATTGTTAAAATACTTTTGGATTGCTTGATGGCAAGCGGCATTCCAAATCTCCATTTTTGTATGCTGGCAGATGTAACAGTGCTCTCTAGTAATCCTCCTTTCAGAGGATGATTTCTCTTTCACTTGTTGCTCCCTATCTCCTCTCCTCCATTTATCTCTTGCACATTGGAAAAGGGGGTGTAGGTAATGGAAATGCAGAGGTGCAGTAATGTAAAGGTTTGTGTTCAGCCAGTTCAAATTCTTCCCTATCACTGTTCCCTTTTAAGTGCAAGATCCAGTTATTAGAATCTCTATGAGAAATGATACAATGATCTGTGAATTGAGAACTATAGTGGTTTTTGGAGTTTAGGCAAGGATGTATATGCAGAGGTTTCGTCTTATGTCTTACCAAAAGATTGTATTCTTTTAACAGCAAGATCTTAAATGATGTCATTGATATGTCTTGGACTCTTCCTATAGGCCAAACACTGTATTACTGAGTGCTGTGTTACAGAGAACCCAATATATGTGGCTTCTGCCCTCCCTTATGAAGCTTGAAATCTGTCAGGGGATGTATACGTTAAAAGAATTACATTAAAAATTATTTTGTAGTAAGTGCCATGAGGAAAATAATAGGAGACTTTAGCCTGGTAACTTTAGCTTAACATAGACTGAAAAAAAAAAATGAGTGAAAGTTAGCCAGTTGATGGGAAAGGAAGAGAATGTACAAAGGCTCAGAGCAAGGTATATGAATTTAGATTCAGACAAATACATTTTTAACTGCAAATAAATTAATGCCTTTACTAGAGATCTTGCTAAGTAAAGAAGATATTTAAATAAAGAAGTCTTATAACAGACTGTTTCATAAAGTAAGCAGTCTTTTAGTAAAGCCAGATCTTCTTTGACCTGATCTGTTTAAATGTAGCCTACACCAATAATTTTCATGAATTTCTATGACTCTTATAGCGTTCTCCTGGGAAGAAGTGTTTGCCACTCAAGGAATACACTCAAGAAAAACCTGGAAATCACAGAAGGCATTGTAAGATAGCTCCAGTGAGTCTATTAAACCTCCTGAAATTGGTCTTTGAACAATTTAGAGGTGCTACAGATAACCAGGAAAATTTACCAAGCAAATTAGCTGTGAGACAGTTGATCAGTTATGCCCAATGTTCAGTAATTTATCTCAGATTTATTTCTTAAAGTTCCCCATAAATGAATTTTGATATAAATGGTTTTATATGTTGTATATAAGAGGATATGGCTGGGTGCAGTGGCTCACGCCTGTAATCCCAGCACTTTGGGAGGCTGAGGCGGGCAGAGCACCTGAGGTCAGGAGTTTGAGACCAGCCTGGCCAAAATGGCAAAACCCCATCTCTACTAAAAATAGAAAAATTAGTGAGGCATGGTGGCACGTGCCTGTAATCCCACCTATTTGGGAGGCTGAGGCAAGGGAATCACTTGAACCTGGAGGGTGGAGGTTGGAGTAAGCTGAAATGATGCCACTGTATTCCAGCCTGGGTGACAGAGCAAGACTCCTTCTCAAAAAAAAAAAAATAAAGTTATGTTTTTCCCAGTTGATATAGTCAGTTCTAATATATTCTCCACTTTGCAGTTTCTCTGTCTTCACGCATTTTTTACCTTCTCAACTCAGAAAGGTTTTTGTATTATTTTCCAATGCTAAAACTTTATTTGTGCCTGTAAGCCCAGTTAATTGGAGACTTGCTCTATCAGCTGTCCTTGCTCATTGCTTTTCTTCCAACTACTGACATACTTAAAATTATCCTGCTTAAGTAGGATAATGAGGTATCAACATACTTAAAAGTATCTGCCAACTTCCCCCTCAAATCCTCCCCTCTCATCTTTCTTAGATTTTAATTCATTTTTCTGAAAACATATGTTTCCAAATTTGCATGGTTTGCAGTCCCGTTTCATATTCTACAGAGTGGGCTTTTTAAAATATGTTCTCTAACTCCCAACTTCAAGTGATCCACCTGCCTCAAAACCCAATCTCTACTAAAAAAAAAAAAAAAAAAAAATACAAAAATTAGCTGGGCGTGGTGGCTGGTGCTTATAATTCCAGCTAGTTGGCCAGCTGAGGCAGAAGAATTGCATAGTTACATGTTTATTATAAAGAATACTAGAAAATTAATGTTAAAATATTTCAACTAATGATTTCATACG